AAAAAACGGAAAGAACTTTTGCACCGGACTAATATTTGCTTTCCAGAAAAATCAGTTCTATACACAAATGAATACTTAGCGCTTTAAAGACATCATAAATACATTATTGTTAAGAAGGCCCAATTGCTCATATAGCAAAACTAACAATTGCATTTATTTGCAATTTTTGTGCTGCTTTCCCAGTTGGATGATCTAGCTACAATTTTACATGGAAGGATTCACATTTTAAAAAATTTACTTAACAAACTGATTTGGAAACAGCCTTTGCTTTCGTCTCCAGAGCGGAGATATAGCTGCATGATCAACAACAGATTACACAAGTTTTTGCGTTTCAGCCCAACTTTGACGACTACATGAGAGCAAACGAATTTCTTTATCTGAGCATGATTAATTAGAAAATTTATTTCAAGGCTATCTAATCGCGGATAATTCTAGTGCTTCCAGGCACTTCCCTCACCTTCAACACCTTGCAACAACGCAACTCAATTTGATTGTAAAACAACTAGCGATTCAGAACGATGTATCCCAGTAGAATGGTTATGTGATGGTCTAAAGGATTGCAAAAATGGATTGGTATGTCTCTTTCCTCTTTTCACCACTGTTTTTTTTATCTCCTGCTCAGGATGAATCTCACTGTTCCTACTTGCACAAATGCCCAACAGGAGACTTTATATGCCGAACAGGTGAATGCGTTTCGGGAAGATACAAATGCGACGGAGAGGCGGATTGCCGCGGGGCCGAAGATGAAAAAGGCTGTGATTATTCCGACAAGGCAGCTGCAGTAGCAAGGTATCATTTTGCATCATGGGGTTTTATTGTCCTTACTTATTCGTCATCAGAGTTTTCAGTGCGATCATGATGAATTGCCCGGAGCATATGTTTCATTGCTCTCTCGGTCCATGTATGGCGAAGAGATATGTCTGCGATGGAGAAGAGGTATGTTCCGGTGAATTTGACGATTATTAATGGTGATTGCATTGCCGACAACAGTTGCGCGAAAATAAATATCATGCATTGAATGCGGGCGACTTGCTTGTGACCTGCACGCGACTGGCCAAACAGCACTTACAAGGGAAAGATACTTGGTGACCGTGGCTGTTTGA